AACTGGGGTATTTCTTGATGATCATTCATCAGGTCCAATCCTGATTATATTAAACCTGCCTGTCAGATTTGTCCTTATAGACTTGGAAAAGCAAGGGTCATGAAGTGAAAATGGTATAGAAATAGTTTTAGAAAAATAGGGAGAGATGTTTAGAAGAGAGAGGTTGCCAAAGAAGAAGCTCAAAAAGTAAAGAGAAGCAGATGAGCCAAAAATCAAGGGGAGCATTAGGGTGGAAAATGTTTTTAAAATGATCCTCAAATGAGGATCCTCTTGAAACAACAGATTAAAAGAATTAATAAATGATCCAATTTTTCAATCAGCAATTGTTATATAATAATTTATGGCTTATAATTTGATTGTTTGATTGATACCACTGAAAATCTAGCGACACATAAGAGCTATTTTTCATCAAATGCCATATGGTAGGTTTGAGTTGTATGTTTTGAACTAGACTTTTATGCAGGTGTAAACAAAGCAAACAGCAGAGCTGTTGCCTTGACCTATTTACCTTTGTCCATCCATTGTGTGTAACTAAATCTGAAGATTTCTTGCATAATGGAATCCAGACAAAACTTGGAGTCAGCAGAAAATACACACAAAAAAGAACCCTATAGAAATAATTTTTCTGCTAAGCATAACTTAGGATTTATACGGGCAATAAAGAAAAGACAGAAGCTAAATAAGAAGTGATTAGTTTTCTATAGAAAAAATATATAGTCAAATTCATTCATTTTTAGTATTCACATTTGTCAATTGATATCCAATCACTACTATTTTTTTTATCATTTTAGTATTTAGTATTTTAGTATTTATTTGATTTGTCAATCGCTTACAAGATACAGGTATAAGAATAAACATAGTTTTGAATACATGAGCTGGATACATATAAGAAAAATAAAAATAAACAATAGGACAGGGACAGTAGGCACGATTGGTGCACTTATGCATGCCCCTACAGGCCTCTTAGGAAGGGGGTGAGGTCAATAGTAGACAGTCTAAGGTTAAAGTTTTGGGGGTTTAGGGAAGAAACCACAGAGTCAGATAGAGTATTCCAAACATTGACCACTCTGTTGCTGAAGTTGTATTTTCTGCAGTCAAGTTTGGTGCGGTTAACCTTGAGTTTGTATCTATTGTGTGCTCTTGTATTGTTATGATTGAAGCTGAAGTATTCATTTGCAGGTAGGATATTGCAATGTATGATTTTATATACTATACTTAGATCGGACCTGGAGGCAGGGTAGTTCTAGGTTTTCTAGGTCTAGAGTTTCAAGTCTGATGGCATAAGGTATTCTGCAATGAGTAGAGGAGCGGAGAACACTTCTTGTGAAATATTTCTGGACTTTTTCAATTGTGTTAATATCAGATACATGATATGGATTCCAGACTGATGAGCTGTATTCAAGTATTGGTCTAGCAAATGTTTTGTATGCTCTAGTTAGTAGTGTGATATTACCAGAGAAGAAGCTACGTAGGATTAGATTAACAACTCTTAATGCCTTTTTGGCTATGTAGTTATAGTGGGTTCTAGTACTTAGATCATTAGAGATGAGTACTCCAAGATCCTTGACAGAGTTTGGATCCTCAACAAGGTCTTGAATATTTAGCTTGTATTTTATTCTCTGATATATATTTTTTTGCCAATATGTAAGACAGAGCATTTATTTGTTGAGATTTGAAGTTGCCATTTGATTGACCATTCTGATACATAGTCAAAGTCTTTTTGGAGGGTAGCAGTATTGTCTGTGGTGTTGAATAGCTTTATATCATCAGCAAAGAGAATACAGTTGCTCTTAATATGATCGCAGAGGTCATTTATGTAGAGTATGAAGAGAGTTGGTCCTAGAACACTGCCTTGGGGGACACCACTGTTGACAGGTACAGAATTTGATAGGACGCTCCCAATTTTGGCGATTTATTGTCTGTTTGACAGCATGCTTCTATCCAGTTATGTAGGCGTCCAGAGATACCATAAGATTTTAGTTTTAGAAGTAGTTTGTCATGTACCACTTGAATCAAAGGCTTTACAGAAGTCTATGTAGATTGCATCTATTGCTTTGCCCTGATCAAGTTGTGTAGTCCATATGTTTTTGCAGTGTAAGAGTTGCAGATTACAGGATAGTTTTTTTCTGAAACCAAATTGTTTATTAGAGAATAGGTTGTTTGTCTCTAAGTGAAGGATAATGGATTGGTTAATAATTGATTCCATGACTTTACAGGTGACGCAGCATAAAGAGATTGGTCTGTAATTTTCAACTAGGCTGGGGTCTCCCTTTTTGAAGATGAGGATGACTGTGGCTTATGACCATAGTTTTGGCAAGGAGCTGGTCCTGAAAGAGTTTTCAAAGATTATGCTTAGAGGTTCGGCTATGGCAGTGGATAGCTTTTTTAAGAAGTAGGCACATATTCCATCCGGTCCAATAGATAGAGATGGTTTTAGATTGCGTAGTGCTTTTTCAACATTCTCTTCTGTAAAATCGATATGTATTAGATCATTGTAGTTGTCTGTGGTTCGACTAGGAAGTACTGGGCTTGATCCATTGCTGTTTACAAATATTGAGCCAAAGAATGTGTTAAAGAGGTTTGCTTTGATGGTGTCGTCGTTGCAGTCTTTGCCATTAGGTCCTTTCAGGTGTGGAATGGACTTTGAGTCTTTTAGTTTGTTGTTTACAAAATTGTAGAAAGCACAGGTGGAATTTGTGCGTAGAAGGTTTTCCTCTTGTTTAATGTGATAATTAGTGCATTCAGTTTTTATCTGGTGGCATAGATTTTTGTATCGGCTTTTGAAGTTGGCAACATGACCAGATTTGTTTTTTCGCCGAAGTGATCCCTTTTTGAATTGAAACTTCCTTATTGTTATGGGTAATCTGTTTTTCCTGGTTTTGGGAGTTGTTATTGGTACATATAGTTTGATGGCTCTTTTGATTTCTAGTAAGAATATGTTGTAATGGTCTTCAACAGTATTGCATCCAGTGAATAGAAATTGCCAATTAAGGGAAGATTATAAGATCATAGTTGCCTTTTTAAAAATTATAATTGGGGATTTCATCATTGTGATGATTTTTGTGTGGATGTATGTTGAGACAAAAGTCAATCATGTTGTGGTCACTGTTGGAAAAAGGTTCTTTAATTTGTATTCCACAAATTAAATTCAAACTATTGTAGAAGATGAGATCAAGGCTGTTGTTAAGTCTAGTATTGTTGGTTACTAGTTGTTCCAGTCCCAGATTTGTTACAGCATTGTAGAAGGTTGCATGTACGGGTTCAGTTGTACATTTGTTTAAGAGTCCAGTTAATATGCGGTAGATTGAAGTCACCAAGAAAGATAAAAGTGTGTGGGCAGGATGCTGTCCATGTTAGTAGTGTATTTAGCTTTTTACATGTTCGATGTCATAATCAGGGGCTCTGTAACATAGTAAGAACCGAAATGTGATATTTAAGGTCAGTTCACAGATAATGGTCTTAGGAAGAGCAAGCTCTTCAGTAACTTGGATGTTTTTTAGATGTAAGGGCTTTTTATAGAAGATAGCAACACCACCTCCTCTATGGATTTCACGATCTGATCGGTAAACATGATAGTCTCTTACTGAGGTAATGGAGTCAGGGAGAGATGCTTTGAGCCATGTTTCACAAACAAATATGATGTCGAATTTAGTCATATTTAGTAAGAGGAGAAATTCAGATATTTTTTTACAAGGCTTCTTGCACTGAGTAGCTTGCATTTAAGGCTAGTTGTAGTTGAATTGAGGTAGTTGGGGTGTGCCTAATCTTGGGTAATGGTGGATTGGTTGAAGTAGGATGCTGAGTTGTGGGTTGTGTGACTTTCTTTTGATACAGTCTGTACGGTAATCAATGTACGGTCCTTATCTCCATTTTCTAGACGATTTTTGAGTTCTGTGCATAGTATATGGGAGCGGGGGTTTTTATGGTTGGTGTTGTTCTTGGCGAGTGAATTTATAGTATAAATGAATTTATGTTTGCTTAATTCATTTTTGCAAATGACTCTGCACAAGCGTGGGGCCACAGAGCTGTTTCTGTTTTTGAGCTCTCGGCCGATGCAGGTAATGTCAAGTCAAATGTCATCAGGGGAGATGCTTGATGCTTGATAGTCACTGATGATGTTGCGGACAATTGTAATATCCTCATTGTTATTGATATCCTCTAGACCAAATAAGATGGTGTTAGAACGCTTTCGTTCGCGCTCGACAGCTTCTTTGATGAGGATTGGGATATCATTATTTGTTGGATTTATGTTTTTTTGTGGATTAGGTTGCAGTTGTTGGTTTGTAGCTATTGGATTAGGTTGCAGTTGTTGGTTTGTAGCTATTGGATGTTCAGGTTTTTTATTGTGTCTTCTTTTTTTTTTTCAAGGTTAGTTAATCTTTCATTTAAAGTGTCCAGGGGTGCTACTATGGTGTCAAGGGATGATATTTGCGTTTCTATAGAGTCAACTCTTTCAAACAGGGCTCTATGTTTGTCCAGTTTGGGTTTGCATGGTGGGCAGAAAAATGGAAATGCAACATTGGATGTTTCTAGGAATTGAATCAATTGCTTGGGTAATTCCAGGCAGTCATGATGAGCATATTTTTCACATAGGGAACATTTGATGGAATTTTCATTAACCTTTAGAGTTACAGAGCATATAAAGCATGTGCAGGAGTCTTGTGGTTCATTGGTGAGGATTGTTTTTCTTTAGGTTGTTGTTTGGTATTGGATTTTTTTACTGGCATGGTGGGTTTGTTGAGATCGTACGTTGATTAAATTGCTTAATAAAACAGTTTTGGGTAATCAATATAGCCAATATCACACCAATTAATCAATTACAATAATCTCTCTAATGAAATATTATTTATTCAAAATAATAAATTCTCACAAAATCATGTTTCATAGCCTTATTGAATGTTTATGAACTTCAGAGATGACACTGCTAAAGGCAGATCAAATGGAATCCAACCTTGAGATTACAGGTGTGAACAACATAGTCTTTCTGCTCAAAATTTTAGGCATGCAAGATGCTTCCAAAAAGCTTACAGAGTCTCTTCATGAAGTATATGAACCTGATTGGTATGGCCGGGATGATGTGAAAATGGTTGGTGAGGTAAGAATAATTTTTTTTTTTAAGAAATTGCAGATTTAGATTAAATTGTGCTTAGAATAGACACAATAAAATTCATGTGATAAGTAAACAATGACTATCTTAAATATCGTTAACTTCAGTGACTATTCTGACTAAATATTTATTTGTGTAACAAGGAATGCAAGATAGTTAAGAAAAAAAATATAAACTAAATGATAAAGCAGAAGACAACAAATTTTTAAATAATAAAGCCATATTTACTTTCCAGTAATTCTATTCTTGATCTTTCAAAAGAAGAGTTTTAACCAGTGTCTAAAACTGAGCTTTTGATTTCCTGCAGGATAGAAGTTCCAAGAAACTGCTATTGCAAAAGCCTATTTTTTTTATTGTACCGCAACTAATTTTGAATGAGTAGACATAATTCAGTACAGGTATTCCTTGACTTACAATAGTTCATTTGGTGACCATTCGAAGTTACAATGGCACTGAAAAAGGTGACTTATGACTATTTCTGACATTTATGATTGTTGCAGTATCCCCATCATCATATGACTTACCTACATTTGGATGCTTGACAACTGACTCACAATGACCTTGAAGTGTCATGTGATCCCCTTTAGTGACCTTCTGACAAGCAAAGTCAATGGAAAAGCTAGATTCACTGTGTTACTAACTTAACAAGTGTAGTAATTTACTTAACAACTGGGCCCAAAAAGTCATAAAATGGGGCAAAACTCTCAACAAATTTCTCACTTAATAACATAATTTTGGGCTCAATTGTGGTCATAAGTCGAGGACTACCTGTACTTTAAAATCCCTTAAGCAACTGTGAATATTATTCCTGAAGAGCATAAGTTCACCTTTTTTTGTGGTTTTGGTTGAAAATGAGCCTGAGTTGATTGAAGGTTTGGAGATCAGCCTGGTACCATTGAAGATAGTACCCTGTTTGTATTAGAGTTCATATAACATTTTTTCCAAAGCTATGAGGACTCTGAAGGTTGTGCTGGATTCAAGAACACAAATAAACATAGTGATACAATACAAAGAGGAGCATTATATAAGCAAAGCAAGAAGACACTTATTTTGACAGCTAATGAACAGAAAAGGGACTGAAATGAGATAATACCAAGCAAAAGATAAGAAAATGCAGTGGCTGAGTAAAGAAATAATTTAGTAAAACTACTATTTTGCCCCAAAATTCAGAAAACAAATGCATTTTTTTTCTGAAGGCAATATCACTAGTTGAAAGTCTAGTAACTAATTGTGGAAGTTATGACTAGTTAAATTTGGAGATGAAGGTGAAAGGGTTGAATAGGTTTTCTTTAAAAAATACTGTTTTAAAAAGGAAGAGTAATAACAACAGGAAGTTAAGCATTATGTAGACACTTGATATTATATGGCTTGAGTCAAGTGTTGTTTAGCTCAGGTAATGCTTCTCATGTATTTAGGAAAAGACATTCAGCCTTGATAATTTATAGGAAAATCCAAGATTTTGATTTATTTACAAGTAATCTTCAAACTAATAACAAGGTATGTGCTGCTTTGGTAACCCTTTTCACTCTGAAAACTATTTTTAAACATGATGCTACTACAAGCAAAATTTATTTTCACAATGCCAAGTACTTCCAAGTACTGTTTGCATGGGGACAAGGAAGTCAGTATTTCTGTATTTCTTGTCTGCCAAGGACTTGCAGAGCATATCATAGAACAGAGCTGTCAAACTCCTGGCCCATGGGCCGGATGCATCATGTCATGCTCAGTTTAACGAAGGGGGGACAAGTCCCAATATGTCACGTGCTGCCACCATGACAACATGAGTTTGACACCCCAGTTTATTAGAAGATAAATTTGGAATTATTCTTTCCATGCCTTATTTAGTACAATCAAATACATTTTTATCCAGCCTTAATTCCAAGGAGTTCAAGATAGCATTATAGTTTCATTTTCATTTCACTTTCATTTATTAGTTCCATATTTTAGTCTATTTTATTCTAACTGTAATAAGTTACATTAGTTAAAATATAATTTCCTAGATCATAGTTCAATCTATTGTGTGAACTCAAGCAATTGGATTGAATAGAAAAACTGTAGCTAAGGAAATATGGTGAACAAACTCAGCTCAGAGAGTAGTTTCAAATGTGCAACATGAGCTTCATGGATAAGTATTAATTTGCATTTGTTTCCTTAATCTCACGTTATAATGGAATCCTTTTTAACTTGAGATTCTGAAGTGAGGAATTATATGACTCGTTGCCCCATACAGCTCATCTCCTGGTGACTTACATAATTATTTTCAGATCAATGGTTCTGCCATTCTTCAATGGAAGAAGAAAGGGGTGGTGGTGGTGGATACAAATAATCATTTTTTATGTAACCTGAATATCCTAATTCTTGTACTGAATTTGTATGGCCTTCACATGATTTATAACTGTGGGCTGGAAATCCCCGATGCCTGAATACTTGTCACCTCTTGGAGAGATAGTTCCAACTCCCTTTATCTAAGCTGCATGCCTGGAAGAATATCAGATCCTGCTATGAATGTGGACTTGCTGTCTTCCTTTTCAATAAAGAATTCCTTTTGAAATACCCAGTTTTCAAAACTTCATTCTTATCCTCTATGGGGAAGAGAATCTGGTCCTTACATAAAGCAGGATCTCGAGAGAAAAACAATTTTTCCCTTCCAAAATTTTACTCCACCAAGGGAACCCTGCAAAAAGAAAGGAAAAGGAAAAGAAAAAATGTCTGAAATAGCAATGAGAAAAGGGAAGCCAAATGCTGGGGAGAAACCTCAACAACTACCCAACCAGACACTGGATTCATGCGCCCCATCAAAGACATCGAAGCTGTCTGCGAAAGTTCCATGAAGCCCCAATAATCTAGAGGCGTAGGAAAGATGGGATTCAACCAGTGTTACTATCAGTTCAGTGACAATGTTTTGCTGCGCATGTGTGTAAAAAACTTTAAGCTGTGCCACCCGGACAGCTGAAAAGTACAGTGTGCAGGTGCATAGCATATGAAAAGCCAGCTGAGGTTGAAAAACCAGGAAATAAAGGACAGGTAAGAGCCCAGGTGGGCAGGTGGGCCAAACAGCAGCAAACACAGAACCGGTTCGATGTCTGCTGTTCTTCAGAGTGACCAGTTCTATAGAGCTGGGCAGCATCCTAGCATCCCACCCCTGGGAAAGAGAGACAGTGGGATGGAAGAGCTAAGGGAGTAACCCTCACCCATGGTAACCATAAACCCGGGTGAAAAATGGAGCCAGAAGCCCTTTCCGATTGGGAAGAATGGATTGAGGAACCACTGGCAGATGAAATGGTACATAAATTGCCTCATGAGGGAAGCCCTGGAGGACTTCAGTGTGCAGGAATCAGGTCGCCAATGAAGGAGAGCAAGTGAACCAATAATCGAGAGAACCCGAGCCGTCACCCCTGATCCAGCTTTGACTGATTGAGCAATTGATCAAGCTGAGGACCAGCAACCACACCAGGTATCCAACCCCTTGCCATTCCAGAGCAGGGGATTAACCCCAACCAACCCAGGGACCTACAACTGCAGAGAAAGATCCTGCCCTTGGGGGTGAAATTCGACAGGGATCTCCAGAAATTGGGGTTTTTCCTGGCACAAGTCCTCACCTACATGCAAGAATACGGGTGGAACTTCCCAACCAAGGGGCCCAAGTGCGAGTCATCACCCTAGCCCTAGAAGGGGCAGCTGCCAGATGGATAGTAATCCTCCACAATGTCAATGCCCCAGAGTTGAGGAACTTTGATCAATTCATGACAGCCCTACCCCACCACTTCAAAGACCTCGCTGATAGAAAAGCCTGCAACTGCATTAGGGTCATAAAGCAAGGCCATCATCATGTAGCTGAATACACTGAGGATTTTCGTGACCTGGCCAGCTGAGTCGACTGGCCAGAAGATATTCCACTCTGCTTGTTCAAAGATGGACTCTATGATGACCTGTATACTGCCTGCTTGGCCTGTGGGGCCCCTAACCTTCTGCATAAATGGTACCTGATGGCAGAGGGGGCGGAGATCGACATGGCCCATAACCAATATCACACCGGCAGGGTTTGGAGAAGATCTCCATCCCAGGGGAAGTGGAAGTTTTTCAAACCCCAAACTACCATGACTCCAAGTTCATCTGGCTGTTTCAGGTGTGGAAAGAGAGGCACAACACAGTGGAGTGCCATTCAAAAAACCCTGCCAGAAAACCAGACCACCCATCAGAAGGGGAACCTGGAAAATCCAACCTCTGAGGAAAAGAAACCGCCCTGAGAAGCTGAGAAGCCATGGTGTTTGGGTCCCTCCCAAACCCAGAGGAAGACTCTCCAATGCCCTGAGAAGATCTGAGCCAGTCCAAAAGTGATCCGGAAGATGATCCTCTAGTAAGCAACCCAATCGAACCACTCTCTTTACCCCTAAGACTGTTTATCCCCAGCCAAGGGAAGGGGGAGGAAGTAGCAGCATTATTGGATTTGGAATGTACCCAGTGCCTAATCAGCCCCACCTTAGTAGGGAAATTGGGAATCCAGCTAAGGAGAATGGAAAACCCCATTGCTTTTTGTCAATTAGATGGAACCATAGCGGTGGGGGGAGCCAGCCAATTTCATCACAGAACCATTGCAAATAGAACTGGGGAACGTAGCAAGATGCTCACATTCATTTTCTATTTGTAGCTCCGGGAATGGAAAGGCCTCTAGTTCTAGGACTCACATGGCTATGGAAATGGAAACCAAAATCACGCTGGAAGAAAGGAACTGTACATTGCCAGAAACATGTGACACTTGCAAACATCCCGGGGGGGGGGGGGGGGGAAAGAAAAGCCTCCCAACCCCATTAATATCCCCAATGAATACCAGGATTTGGCTGAAGTATTTAGTGAGGAGGCTTCTGATGAACTCCTGCCTCATCACACCACAGACTGTGCCATTGAGATCCTGCCAAGGGCTAAACTTCTAAAACTGAAAATATATTGCATGTCCTCCAGAGAACTAAATGAACTCAGAGCATTTATTG